AAATAAAAATAAACCCCAGGGTAAGAGAACATTTCCACCCTTAGCTCTCTCTACCTAGAGCCTTAACGGAGGTGGGAGCAATCACAAGTCCCAGAGTCTACGTGGGAGCAGAAATGGACTGCAGCACGTACTGGGGATTTGCTTCTCTGGGCTGCTCACGGTGCATTGGACGAGTGCTTTGAGAGAAGCTGCTGTATAGCAAGCACTTTTCTGGGCTGGGAATGCAGGGGTGACTGAGTCTAATGCCTGGCTTCTCAGAGCTTGGTACCTGACCAGCAGCAGCAGCAGTAACAGCACCGCAGAGATCAGAAGATCTTTAGAAACGCAAGGCCTCCGGCCCTGCCCCAGCCCCACCGGATCAAAGTCTGCCTGTTTAGCAAGGTATCAGGGGAGAGCTGCACTCAGCTGGACCCCTTTTTAGCTCCGAGTAGCACCAAGGCCTCTCCATGCGGTCACTCCAGCAAGGGATTCTGATATCACTGACAGTCGAGATGCCCGACATCAGTAATCCTCAGAGAAAGGCAAGGCAGACCTCAGTGAGTGATCACCCGGCACCCATCAGGATTGCCACGACCAAGGAAATGAAATAAAGCACAAGAATAGGCAATGAAAAGAAACGGGGCCTCTGGGCACTGCTGGTGGGATTGCAAAATGGTGCAACCACCATAGGAAACAGTATGGAGGTTCCTCCAAGAAGTTACCACAGGAGCCAGGCACAGTGGCATAGACCTGTCATCCCAGCTGCTCTGGGGGCTGAGGCGGGAGGGTCTCAAGCTCCAGCCAGCAGGGTCAACTTAGCAAGACCCTGTCTCAAGAAATTTTAAAAGGGACGGAGATGTAGCTTACTACAAAGCTCCGGGTACTGGAGAGTACTCCTCCCCAAAAAGGGGGAAAGAAAGAACGGAAAAGAAGATTAACACAGAAAGTTTTATGGTTTTTATTTTATTTTATTTTTATTTGTTATTTTTCACACACACACACACACACACACACACACACACAATGAACCTGAGGCTTCTTAAAGCCCAGATTCCAGGGAAAAGGAATTTAGGCCCCACCTCTCAATAGGAACAGTGATAGGGACCCGCAGCCATCTTTGCCACACCCCCCACGTGCCCGTCCGGCCTCAGCACCTGAGGAGACCTACGGTGAGCCACTCTTTCCAGAAGACTCTTCTGCCTCCGGGATGAAGGGTATCAGAAGCCCCTGGAGAGAGGGGAGAGTTCGAAACAACAGGGTGGGAGAAAGGGACAGAGTTTGTGGAGCCAAGGAGAAAAGTGGCCTGGAGTTCCTCCCATACTCATCCTCGCAGCCAAGACTCCCCGGCCATTCTGCCAAAAAGCTGAGCTTTTTCATTGCCCAGTGCCTGTCCCCAGCCCCAACCCCAGCTATTCTGACCAGGGGGCTCCAGACCCTCGTTGCAGGGCTCAAACAGGAACAATCAGCAGAAACCAAGCACAGGACACCACAGGAAGACACCAGTAAACACACAGAAAATTCCACCAAGTAGGATTTAGCTAGTCTGGACAGAGTGGCCTTTATAAATGCCGCTCTCAAGAGCAGCGATTCAAATGACAGCTTCGGAAAGGGTCTGCAAAGAGCCCCTCGGAGGTGGGACACGGGCCACTAGGAGCCGTGACATGTTGCAAGGACAAACCTGACTGCACAAAGCTCCGGAGAGGCGCTGAGTGACTTACTTATTCAGTCCTGCTCTGTACAAACCTGGGCGAACGTGACGTCTTTCGGGTTGCGTCCCCTTATAGGTAACATCTGTGGTGCACGGAAAATGTTAGCAGAAGTTCTGAAAAGAGCAGTGTTTTACAAGGCAGTTATGGTGTCGCCGCGCGGAGGCGTCCACCGAATTCTGCAGACCGCCCTGCTGCCCCCACCCCAGCCTCGAGACAAAAGGAGTAACGATCTCCCACCCGTCTCCGCAGACCTGTTTGAAGAGCTGGCCTCCGCCAAGCTTCCGTGTGGAAAACTGTGCTGTGAAGGCCACCTACGCAATAGTGATGGCCTCCTAATTCTACTCCAGGAAAACGTCTTCCCGATATTACGCGGGGAGCGTTCCCGCTCTGAGCAGGGCTGGAGCCAGCAGCCTGCTTATTTTTAGCCTGCAAGTCTGCGGAACTCTCACATGCCCTGGAGTTCTTGTTGCTCATCCGTGTCGTATAACTAGGAAGAAAAAGTGCTCTGCGGTAGCCGCGTCTAAGTAATTTAAACTGGAGCAGACACTCCCTGCAGGCCTGTGATGAGCTTGCTGTGGTCAGGGCAGAGCCGGAGACTGCGCACAGCTGGAGAAGCCGCTGGCCCCACACCCATGTGACACAGCGTGAGCCCCGCATTTTGAACCCAGGCATCTGACTCACCTCACTCTAGTCGAGGCCAATTTCTCTGGCTTTGTGCTCTCGTGGTTTCTATTCGCTCCTCCACTCTGCCCGGCACTGAGGCTGCGGGTGGGGCGCACAGGCCAGGATCAGACTGACTGATGAATGGCGAGGTTTACAGTGAGAGTCTCGGGAAGATTGGCTTTGCTAGAGCAGACCCAGAAGGGCTGCTGATGAGTGACTCGTCCTGGCCAGGCCGGGGCTGTGGGCCCAGATGAGGGGGGTGGAGGATGCCAGTTGTGCGATGGGCCAGGCGTGTTCCATTTCGACAAGGGGCTCGCGATCTTCCCAGGAGGTGTCTATCCTCAGGACATGACTGCTTGGGAACTGATCTGAACCCCTTCTGACCCCTGTCACGCTCAGCCAAACCCACTGAGAGCGGGTCCCGGCAGCGTGGGGTGCAGCATTGGACACAAGTACTTCCTGCATCTCCTAGTTTTCCTTCACCCTGCGATGTCATAAAGCCAATCTGGGAAGCTTAGGGCTAGGGGAAGTGAAACGTGAATGGCAACCAATTACTCACATCAAAAAGACTTTCCTATCGTGAATTTGAGAGTGTATTTAAGAATCTCTAAACTGGGCATGGTAGCGCACGCCTATAATCCCAGCCCTCAGGAGGCTGAGGCAGGAGGATCGCTGTGAGTTGAGACCAGCCTGGGCTATAAAGTAAATTCCAGGTCAGTCTCAACTACATAGTGAGACCCTGACTCAAAAAAAAAAAAAAATCTCTAGGAAACAGGGAAGCACCTCCTTGACTACTCTTCCCCCGCAGCACGCTCATCTACACCTCTAAGAATGTCCACATCTTCCCCCTCCTCGTGCCTAGCAACTTTTCAGCATCTATTCCCAAATTCCCTTCCAAATGTTTTCGACCCACTGCCCTACTCCTTTCTCTCCCCATTCACAACACCCTCCCACCTTACTGGAAAAACCAGACATCCCCTTGTGTGGGTTTAAAATAGAAAAAATTCGGAGGGAAGACTCATGCTAGGGTGGCGTCATGAACCTCCAAGCCTGACTTTGAATTCCATCTGGCAGGATCCCCTCTCAAGGTTCAGAACCCCTGAGAGCACAGTGCAAAACTCCACAGGTTGCTTCTATTGCTTTTAATACCGTCGGAAGAGAGCGGTCTCGTCCACAGGGCTTCTGCCGGTGAGCTCAGTCCTACGGAACCATTAGAGAGTCATCGCCATTATGACAGTCTTATTTCAATTATCCCCTGCGTACTGGGTACGTTAAAGTAACGTAGTCCCCTTGCTGAGGGTCCGTTAAGATCACAGTGCACAGGAAAATTTTCAAAGTGTGATGAAAACAAGGAGGAAAATATTGAAAACAGCAATGACAGTCCTTCCGTTCTCTCTAGCACACATTCAGAAACCATCATCTTACCTTGTATTTCAAGATGCTCTGCGATGAAAAAAACAGTCTATTTTCTCTCAGCCCAAATCTGCCACGGTGGCCAGCTCAGGGTGTTTATTCATCCTCACAGGTACCCCTGAACCCTGGCTAGTGGAGCTGAAGTCTATGAAAATCATCCCAACAATAAGGCTGATCATATGCTACTTAGGCTCTGATTTTGTTTATAACAGGCATAGTCCCTAATCTGTTGGAGAAAAGGAAAAGCAGCTAACCCCTGAGGTGGGGAGGGGGAGAGAGACCAACTAGATTGCCAGCATGGTGGTGTGTGTCTGTGATCACAGCACTCAGGAAGCTGAAGCAGGAGGATCACCGTGAGTCTGAGGCCAGCATGGGCTGCATACGATGTCCAAGGCCAGCTTGAACTACATAGCAAGACTCTCTTAAAACAAAGACCAAATAGATCCTTACACACAAAGATGCTCATTGTTTATAACAACAATGGAAAGAAACCTACCTATATATCCGACATTAGTGAAATTGAGAATGGACTATTGAGCATGGAATGAAAAGGTGTGTAAATAAAATGGAATATTGCATGGCTGTTAGAAATTGATATGGTGATATCGTAGTGGAAATGTATAAAATTTGTTCATAATATGGTGGTATAATATGAAAAACCTCATTTATGTGATTCCAGTTGTACAAAATAAGTATGTATTTACATAAGGAATGGAAGGAAACTTGGAAAAAAACAGTCACTATGTCAGGGTGATTGCATTTGTGAGTGATTGTCCTTGTAATCATTTCTTTTGTAGCTATTATGATGGCAAGTGTGAAATAAAACAAGGAAGGTATTAGTTTTCCATGCCAGGCAGGATCACAATACTTGGGATTGTCCTACATTCTTCTTTGCTCCTTCAAAGCAGCCTGGAGTCCTGATCTGGACAGAGGGAATATTTGGGTTTTAAAGAAGATTGCTTGTTGGAAAGACCATGCAGTGTGTGCAGTGAAACAATTCTCCAACTTTTAAGTCTTCTATGGTAACAAATCTCAGTGCATTTGAACCGTTTGCTGACATGTTTTGGGAATTTGGTTTGTTTGTTTTGGTGCCAGGGATCGAACTCAGAACCTTGCACTTTGCTGACATGTTCTTTCCATGACAAATGTTGTGCACAAAGTCTTGCTGACAGAAAATGATGAATGTTTTTCTCTTCCCCTAATCCTTTTTCTCTCTCATTCCTCCCCTTTTTGCAGTTCTGCTAAGCCAATATTCTCTAGAATGAGCACAAAATGAATCGAATAACAGCTTTTGTACATCAACATCAAGAAAGAAAACACTTGGGAGAGATCAGAGTCCGAGATGAATATAGACAACAGTGAAGCATCCACTCATCAAAGCACCTTCTAAACATAGATCTGCAGAGATGGGCTGATTTTCAGAAAGAGAGGTGACCATGGATTAAACACCAGCTCATTGGAAACTGTCACTGGAAAAGATCAGATAATACTCATGAAAAATCATATTCAGGAAACATCATAAGTAAAAGGAATATAATTGTGCTAGAATTAACATATAAAATACATATTACTGAGGTTTGTAAACTGTCCTTTTTTAATCAAGCCAAAAACAAAAAGCTTTAATCTTTCAATATTATTACAAAAAAAGGGGCAATTAGTTCTAAATTATTCCTGTCTCAGTAGCCAAGAAGCTGATCAAGTGTCATTTATTGAGGAAGCAGCTTAGAAAATGCCTCTGACCTTTTGTTCTCCATCTCTACTGTTCATTTAATTCGCTGTGTAATTAATTACAACCCCTCAGTTGTTAAGAAATGCAACATTTCAAACTTTTTACCAAGTCTGTGTTCAGGTGAACCTGTCTGTAGAAGTTACTATTGAGGGCTGGGGATTTAGCTCAGTGGTTCCACCGACTGCTTTGCAAGTGCAAGGTCCCAAGTACCTAAAAATTAAAAAAAAAAGTCACTACTGAGAAAGTGTTTCTGACATGTAGTATTATTCCATCAAGCTATATATTCCAGGAAGTACATCTTGACATCCTAGGTTCCCAAGCAAGCAACAGATTTCTCTATCTTTCAGGAAACAGCATCAAGGAACTCTGAAAAATATAGAAAATTTGTTTGTACCTTGGATGCTCACATGTAATATATAAGCTGCTAACAAATACCTTTTTCTAATTCTCCCTAGCATATGCATAGGAATTTAATACTTTATAGATAACTAAAGTATCTGATTTTTTTTCTATTTCTTTGCCATCCATATCATCAGAAATCTATACCCTGTATTTCTCTGACAGGCATTTGCTTTTATTTTTTTAATTATTCCAATAAAATTATTTCTAAGTGATAGTAAGTGGTACTAATGAAATAAATACTAATTTAATAGCCTTAGAGATAAATGACTATATACTTACACAAGTCAAAGTAACTTGGTAGGAATGTAACTTTTTATTTACTAATGTTGGTTTCAAAATTCTCAGATTATTTTTTTCTTTTTTAGTTAGCTGGCATTTGGAAGCAGTTACAAAAAATCTATTGTCTATATGGATTTTTGTTCCCAGGGTTCCCCAACCATCTCCTTCATGGCATTATCTTACCAATAGCCTACAACAGAGAAATAGTTAAGATCAAAATAGTCGATTGCCCGAGAATGAACACAAGCTAAAATGTACACACAGGAGTATTCAGTGGAAGCTAACCTATGTTCTACACTTGAGCCCGAAACATGAATGTACAAATTGCCTTCATTTTGGCTCAGAATTCAGATCAAATTAGCATAAAGCCCTAGACCATCAGACTGTTGATAACACAGACACAGCAGGGTTGACTTCTCTTACTGTTTCTCTTTTAGGCACATGTTCGTGTTTTAGCCAGATGTTTCTGGTACTGGTCATGTTTTCACCATAAATGAGATCATTAATCAAATAGCTAAAGGTATATTACAGGTAGGCTCATGTAAGTAAAACCATTTTATAATGATGTGGCTTTTTGAAAAAACTAAAGGAATACTTAGAATCTGTAGCAAAAGTATTAGTCATTCTGGAAATTATCTATTGCTTTAAGTATTAGCTGTCCGGTTGCCTTCAGAACACCCTACTTACTAAATTTAATTACACACAACTTTTCAAGAATTCGTTTATCTCTCTAAAACAGAAGCAAAGTGTTGACTTTCTCTAATCCATGTCAATTACCAATTCCATCAGGATACCTACATCACTAATAGTGGTGTTAGCAAAAATGAAAAAGTACTTCCTATCCACATGCAAATGTTTTTAAAAAACTGCTATAAACCTAAGTGTCATTTAGCATTCCACAGTGCTATGAAGATGAGTCATTGTTGATGTACCATTTGTACATAGACAACACACATGTAAATCACTAAATGTTAATTAAGTACAAGAAGTATGTTTTTATCTTTTTAAAAAAATGAAAAGTGATTCCCTTTCTCATTGTGTTCTGTTGTATTCTGTCCAAAAGTTGTGTGTAATTTTTTTAAGGTCCAGGAAATATAAAGAAATTGTTGGAATATTTGAATTTCTGTAAAAAAATAAAAATAAAAATAAGATTTTGTTACTGAAAAGAATGCTTGGTGGTGTAGTACACATTCAATGCGTTTAGTTTCTGACTTGGTCCAGTGATCCAGGGTGAGTTTATGGTTTGACTGAAGCAACTATCTTCAGAAAAACAGCCAGGCATGGTGGTGCACACCTATAATCCTAGCACTCGGAAGGCTGAGGTAGGTGGATTGCAACGAGTTTGAGGCCGACCTGGGCTACATATTGAGTTCAAGGCCAGCCTGAACTACATAGTGAGACTTTGTCTAAAAGAAAACAAAATGGCAAGCGCATGGACTAGAGTTCGATCCCCAGTACCAAAAAATAAAATAAAACAAAACAAAAACTGCTATATTCCATAATAGCTGCCAACAGAGACATTTATTAGCTATGCAGGCCCTTCAGGTAGAAGCCAGGCTCAAGCCCTCCAAAACCTCTTCCAGCTGACTACAAACACACCTCCGGCCACCTTCACACATTCTGTGGAATGAAGTTGAAAGCTAAACTGCACGCTGCCAATTGGAAGAGTTGATCAGACACAAGCCACCCTTTTGTAGTACTTCATGCTGGGTAAACATTGTCCCACTGCGTTCCAAACCCAGATGCTTTGTTTAGAACATGACCCTGAACAGCACTAAGCCTCAGTGTCCTCACCTGTAAAATGGATATAAATAATAATTCCCAGCCTCGTAGCCTTGTTGTGATTATAGTATTGTGCTGGACATTTAAGAGCTGCTCAGTGTTAATTCCCTTCCTTCCCACCATGCGCATGATGTTGAAGGAAGAAAAGAAACATCAAATACAAAGTCCCTTCTCTTAAAATGCTGAAGATGATTACAGCAACATGTATCAGCTAGGATTGAAAATTCAAAGGCATACGGGGGCCAGGTAGATAAAGAAACTAAAGCAAGCTGGGCTGGGGAGATAATAGGAAGCCGCGGGATCTATGGAGCACCGAAGAGCTTAAGTCATGTCTAAAGGGAGTAACAACCAATACGCAGCTCTAATCATTCAACTTGTATAGAGTTTCTTCTTTTTAAACTATGAGAAGACTGTGGGGTACCAGACAAGCAAGGTCCCAGCTCTCAGTCGATTTATGTTTTGGTCAGGGAATTCTAACAATAAACAGGAAAATGTCAGCAGCAGCCAGGGCCCTAGAAAGAATTAATATAGGTGATGTGATGGAGAAATAGGAAGAAGGCCTCTATGAACGGGCAGCATTTAGAGCAAAGCCACAGTTACAAGGAGTCAGCCACAGCTGAACTGTGTCCTCAGTAAAACTTAAGGGCTGGAGATGTAGCCCTTGCCTAGATGTGTGAGGCCCTGGGCTTGATGCCCAGCACTAGAAAAAAATAAAACTATGATAATTAACATAAATAAAAACGAATTTTTGGACAATTGATACAGGAAGAAACAGCAAGATAGGACAGGAAAAGGGTGCACTCGACAACACATGGGGCTAGAACATTTGGTCACTGTTGGGAGGCAATTGAACGCACACCTCTTGTGTTTTTGCATGTCTCCTTTTCTTGGGGGGGGGGTACCAGGGATCGAAGTCAGGATCTTGCGCTTTCGAGGCAGGTGGCAGCACCACTGAGTTTAACCCCCGGCCCTTTGCAATTCTTTTGAAAGAGATACTGACTGTCTTTATTGGAGGCTATCTTTTCAGGATTATCCATATAACCCAAACTAGAGATATTCTGACAGTGTCTCCCTGCAAAGTAGAGAGTGGGTTTGTTTCCTGTTGGGAAATAACGTGTCCCTCTGATGCAGAATTCATCAAGGCAGCCCATTATAGAAGACTCAGGTTTCCTCTCCTGCACCATAACCCACTTCAGTGCAGGCAGCACCCCACCTTCTTCTAATGTTCCAGGAACTGGGTCAAAGGAATGAACACCAACATGCTGCTTGCTACACCATGAGTAATAAAATCCTTTGTCTCTGACCCAGGAGTCTCTTGTCTTCTCCCAGCATCCATCAGACTGTCAGATTATTCTGTTAATTTCCAAAGAGGATAAAAATCTAAGAGCCATCACAGTTATCAATTTGGGAAAAAAAAGGAAATTAGATATCTAACTTACATCTTCCACAAAAATCTATGCCAGGTGAATTAAAGAATAACTATGAAAGGCACAAATTTAACTTTCTTTTGTTTTTATTTAAGTTGACAGATAACATCCTATGATCTCATCATGTACAATATAAAGGTTTAAGTACATGTATATTGTGGGAGATTGAATCCAGCTAATTAACAAATACATTACTTCACACAGTTATCATCTTTCGGGAAAAGGCACATAACATCCACTCTTCATTTTTCAAGACTATAATAAGAAAGTAACTTTAGAAAAAATATGGATAGCCTTGGGAAAAGAAAAGATTTATTGAATGAAACAAACTTCACAGAGGAAATAAATGATAAAAAACTATACTAAAAAACATTCCATAAAGAAAACTAAATGGCACAAATTAGGAGGAAAATTAATACTACCATATACATGGGAATGAATAAACCTGTTACAAACATCAACAGAAATGATCATCTGAGGGGCTGGGGATTTAGCTCAGTGGTTCCACTGCCTACCTCACAAGTGCAAGGTCCTGAGTTCAATCTCTGGTACAAAAAAGAAAAGAAAAGAAAAAGAAATACAATGTTGTGGGGGAAGAAAGTTGTAAAGGCTGAACTGAGACTCTGTTTCTACAAATACCAAAAACAAACAAAACTAAACTATATATAGTTTAGTGACAAATATAGTTTAGTGACAATGGTAAAGCAACAAAGTTGTTAACTATTGGAATCATACATACAAAATTCAAGATCACAGTTCGTTCTGGAGAGCAGGAAGGTTTGCGTCAAGGAAAGGTATGCTGGCTACTTGAGTAGGTCCAGAGCTTGAGTGGAAGTTTCATAGGCTCATTTGTCTTGTGCTTCCTAAATTAATTATATGTACATTAGTTTTTTAAATCAAATGTAACCAAATGAAACAATATAAAATAATTGAACTGAATATTATGAAAGGAAATAAATTGAATATTGATGGCAATTGTGAGAAAAAGAAATGGCAAGGTCTAAAGAAGCAGTAAGGACATTGGAGGGAAGCTATGTAGTCGAGAGGAGAGAAGGTGGTGATTTAAACTAGAGTAGTGAGCCAGGCACGGTGGCACTCTAGGAGGCCGAGTCAAGAGGATTACAAGTTTGAGTCTAGTCTGAACCATTTAGCAACTTAGCAAGACTTTGCCTCAAAATAATTTTTTTTAAAGGGCTGGGGATTTTGCTAAGTACAGAAGGGGTAGGTTCATGGGGGGGTCTAGAATAATAAAAATGAAGATAGAGATGAATAAATTTGGGATAGTGTTGCAGATTGGATTTCCTAGGAGGCTGACTCTGAAAAAGATTAGTAGGCTGTTATGGTTTGGATCTTTTAAACGTCCTCCAAAGACCAATTTGCCCATGTACAGTTCTATTGCGAGAGCAGGGAACCTTTAAGAGGTGAGGCTTGGTGGGAGGAAGTGACGTTGGAGGCGTGTTCTGGAAGGCACTCCTGGGAACCATCTCTTCCGGTCTCTGCGTCATGGCCGCCCTGAGGCGAGCAGTTTTCTCTAGTACTGCTCCGACCCTGGGACACTGGCTCCCTACAAGCCCAAGGAACTACACGAGCTGAAACTTTTGAAACCGTGAGCAAAAAAAAAAAAAGAGTCTTTCTGTCTTTCCTCCTTTAAAGTTGGTTTTCTCAGGTATTTTGACCCGGGGACAGAGAGCAGACTACAACAGTTCATGGGAGACGGGAAGGCGGCAGCCGGACTGAGGAGAGCTGGGCTGTGAGGCAGCGACTCCCACAGGCAGCACCCAGGCCAGGTGGTCTTCTGGGGCTGTGTTATGTGAGAGAAGGAGGCCGTTGCTGTGTGGGGGCTGCGGCCTAAGAGCTCTCGGCTCTAGGCGCAGTAGCTCTTCCCAGTTGAAGGCAACTTTCAGGCGGGGCCGAGGGCTTGGGGTGCAGACACCAGGCCAGTGCAGCCCTCCACAGGCCCCACGGCAATAGGCATCTTGCAGCCCCTGCTGCAGATACGCGTGCTGGGAATATACCTTTGGTGGATAGAATGGGGAAGACGCAAGCGGAGGGACACTCCTGTTTTGCTGAGGAAGGCTGGCCGCGCCCCTGGGTGAAAAAGAAGAAAAACGGGGGCAGCTCTGGGAGATGAAGTCCAAAACTTCTGTGACATTTAAATTCAAGACACTTATAGGAAATTTAAATCATTATTAGGTATTAGGTAAGCAGTTAGGTGTGGAAGAGTAGAGTTGGGGGTATGGTATGGAGCACTTCGCTAGCACACTGAGGTCCTGGGTTCTATCCACAGACCTAACCCCTCCCCAAAGTCCTGCCAAAATATGGTCGCAGTAAATAGGTGACTTTTAACCCTTTGAGACTGCATGTGACCATTTAGCAATGATACGGAATAGAGAAGAGGACCCCAGACCAAGTCCAGAACACTCTGACTTTAGAAGTAAGCAGACCGCCTTTCCTACATCATTTCCATTTCCTGTGTGTCACTTCTGCTTCCCACATGGCACCTCCTTTTGTCTGGCATAAATATGGCCTGTACATGTGGCAGGGTGCAGCATTCTGAACCATTTTTGGTGCAGACTGCTGCAGAATTGTAGAATTGTAAATAAAAGGGAATTAAGAGCTGCAAAAAAAAAAAAAAAAAAAAAAAAAAAAAAAAAAAAAAAAAAAAAAAAAAAAAAAAAAAAAAAGCAAGGAACAGACCAGTAAAGGAGACCAAGAGTGACCCACAAAACATGGTGTTGTAGAATCTTGGAGAGGGAAAAGTATTTCAAGAAGTAGAGTAAGTGCTGCTGAAAGATTAAGACAAAAGCAGAGGAGAGACCACTGGATCTGATAATGGTGGAGGTTACTGGTAATAACAAGAGCAATCTTCATGAAGTAAAGATACAAGCAGTGAATTAGGAAGAGAGTTGAGCTTGAGCAGATGGAGACAGGAATGTAACTTTTACAAGTCAATCAGAGCAGCTCAAATCTGAGAGAACAGCTCTGCTAGATTTTTCTAGTCTCTCAGCAGGATTTTTCATAATATGAATTGTCAGGGAAGATGATACATAATTAAACACAGTGCAGTCTAGGATGGTGAGGGTTTAGAAAAACATCCAGAGGTCAAGTTTAGTGAGTGTGACATGAGTTTATAATGCCCATTGTGAGGGCATATTCTCAAAAACCAAATAGCAGACAGAACTTGCTAGCAGGCATGTGAGACAGATTCTAAGGGCTGCAGAAGCACTCAGGAGGCTGAGGTGCTAGAAAGAATGGGTGAAATCTACTTTAAATAAGCGCAAGGAACAAAACAAGCCTCAGGCGGACTATTGCAAAATATGAAATAGAGGAACTGGAAGCAGAAATAGTAGGAAAATCCTTGTGGCTATATAACCTATCCTTTAATATGGCATTCAGCAGCAGCAGCAGCAAAACTATGTCTTGACTTTCACATTTTGACTTCTGTGAGGCTCTGTCACTGTTGTTATTTAGGCAAGAGGGCCTGAGACTTGATAGTTCTTAATTCTAGCTACTTTGAAATTTTGACTTCATTCTACAAGTGATGGGAAACCACTGAAGGTTTCTGAGCAAGGGCACAGTCTGATCAATGCAATTTTATTTTATTTTTTGGTACCAGTGATTGAACTTGGGATCTTGTACTTGTAAGGCAGGCGGCGGAACTGCAGAGCTAAATCCCCAGCCCTGATAGATGCAGTTTTCATAAAATCATTTATCGTATTGTGAACAAGATAGACTCAAGCATCTAGATTAGAAGCAGAAGGTCTGCTAGGATACTCTTCTTTATGTAGTATTTTTTGTACCCAGTATCAAACTCAGGACCTCACGCTCTTGCCAGACAGGCTCAATGCTACTGAGATAAATCTCTAGCTCTAGGAGACTTGTCTTAAGTGAAAATAGATACTATGTAAAAGGTGAAGACTGGGCATGGGGGATTAGGGAGAGAACAAGGATAATACTTGGCTTTCTAGCCTATAGTATTAGAAGGTTGTCAGTAGAAAGAGCAACCATTAATTAGGGTGAGGGGCTAAGGGAGTTGGATGAGCTGACATGGTAAAAACGATAATAGTCAATATTCAGGCAGTGCCATATACCTTTCAAGTGCTTTCATATCCATTATCTCACTTGCCTTCCAACAGCCTTGTGAGATGTTACTGTGCCCATTCTACAATGAGAAATCTGAGGCTCAGAGAGGTTCCACCATGCCCATAAGGTCACAGGGGCTGGCCCTGATCCCATACTTGTCACTCTTCGCTTTGATAGTGGCTTTCAGACACATTTTGGCTCTTGGTATTTGGTGTAAAAAGGAGTCAGCCTATATCTGCCTTTCAAAAATGATGTCCTGAAACATCAGGTTCTTAGTGGGATTAACTGGATTCCATTTCTTTGATGATGGCTCCCATTGATCCTTCTAGAAGACAGTGATCACTTGCATATGACAATTAAATCCATTTCTACATTTTCCATTTTGAGACCATTTTATATCCCAGTGCAAAAATACACCCTTTTCTAAAATGGGATATTGTTTTACTTTGTCAAGATACCAGTTAGGGACTGTATTTAGCTCAGTGGTTCTGCCACTTGCCTTGCAAGCACAAGTCCCAAGTTCATTTGCCAGTACCAAAAAACCAAGACAAAAAAACAGTTAAATCATTCACATTTATCCTATGAAAATCAAGCCTTAATTGGGCACAGTGGCACAAGTCTGTAGTCCCAGCAGTCAGGAGGCTGAATTAGGAAGATTGGGAGTTCAAGACCAACCTGGGTTAAGTTGCATGACCCGGTCTCAAAAAAGGGGGAAGGTGAGAGGGAGAGAGAAAGTAAGTCAATCTTGGCAAACTGAAATAAGTGAATAAATTTACTTCACCTCTCACTGCCTATTACCTACTCTCTCCAATTAAAAGCTGATAATTCTATTCAAATGGCTGAGATCAGTTTCATTATCTCAACCACAAGTGAATAGGTCCAGGGGCTCAGATGTCAAAGTAACTATCCTCACTTCACAAATGACTTAAGCACTAGATTTTTCTCTGGTATTAACTGAAAGGGGCTTCCCCAGAGGACTAAAGTGGGGACTGGGAATTTGGACTAAAGATTGAATCTTAGCCAAGTAAGCTGGTGAATCAGAAAATCCCAAAAGTATGTGGATATGATGTTACGTCACTGATGCAAAATTCCCTATCAGTCCATATACTTAAAACTTCATCTTTAGCCAGGCGTGGTGGTGCACACCTGTAATTCCAGCACTCAGGAGGCTGAGGCAGGAGGATTGCTGTGAGTTCAAAACCAGTTTGGGCTACACAGTGAGTTCCAGGTCAGTCTCAACAAACAAACAAAAACTTCATCTTCTTCCTAAGCAGAAATTTCTAAAATTTTAGAAGCCAGCTTTCCTTATGAAAGCCTTTATATTTTTCAGATCCTCTGCCTAACAAAGCTTAAGAATTCTCTTCTAGGTCATTAAATTCATTCTGAGTTAAATACAGTTGCCCTGGTCGTGTCAAGAATGATGAAGGGGGCCGGGGATTCAGCTCAGTGGTTCCACCACCTCCCCCACAAACACAAGGTCCCGAGTTTGATCCCTGTACAAAAAAAAAAAAAAAAAAGTGAAGGATCTTTCCTCAAATTTTACTGTATCCATTCCTAAAGCAGTTGGGTTTTTAAAAAATTGATGTGTACTGCCATCTAGTGATACGTTTCATTGAATATTTCAACATGTTACATTTATGTGTAAGAAAGCTTCACTGGATTACCTATAAGAGCAATGTAATTCCCCATTTTACATAGCATACTTATATTTGCAAATATAAAGTCTAGATCCTTATATGCATTACAGATTAAGAAAAATATATAAATGTGGACAGGGGCTCCCTATATCTTCATAAGCCAAGAGACTACTCAGTTTCTTGTGTTAGGGTTTTTGCTTAAATCTTTGGTTTTTATTGTAATTATTCCACCTAAACTGTTTATTTCTCCTACATAAATAAATCTAATCCTGGCTGACAGGTTTAGTGGCCACTCTGTTTGGAAAGGCAGAACTATATAAATGCAGGGGAGGTAGCATGATGTTCTGTGGGCCCAAAACCTAGTTCAGAACTTCCAGTCTCTTTGCCCTGAGCTAGTTATGTAACATCCCCATGCCTCAGTTTCCTAATTTATAAAACTGGGATAATAATCGAATGTGCTTCATACTGTTATTGAAGACATTGTTGCCACAGAGATTAGCACAAAGGAAATGTAAAATAGAAACACAAGGTATCATTTTATTGGTGGATCACAACAAGCCTAATTTTATAACCATGTCAGATGCTGGGATAGCAGGGGAGCTTTGTACCCCATCCCACTGGCAAAGAGATGCTTAGACACAGTGAGGACCAAGGTCAGGCTCTGGACACCAGGATTACCACATGATCCATCAGTTCCCCTTCTAGTTACAAACCCTAAAGAATTGAAAATAGGACTCAAATATTTGTGTACCAATATTCACAGCAGTGTTATTATTTATAAGAGCTAAAAGGTGGAAACAACCCCAATGTCCATCGACAGAAGAATGGTAAGCAGACCATTATGTATGAGTTATATATGTGTTGTGTGTGTTTGTGTGTGTGTGTGTGTGTGTGTGTGTGTGTAATGTCCAGTCAGCCTTAAGGGATGAAATTCTAACAGCATAGATTCACCTTGGAAACATGCTAAGTGAGTAAGTTCAACACAGAAGGAAAAGTACTGCACAACTCCACTTACATGAGATACCTAGAATAGTTATAATCACAGAGAAGAAATAAAATAGCTATCACCAGGGCCTATAGGAAGGCAGAAACAGAGTTAGTGTTTAATGGATATAGACTTTCACCTTGGAACAACAAAATTTTTCTAGATGTGGATAGTGAATATGAAAAGTACTTAATGCCACTGAATTATGCACTTAAAAATGGTTAAAATGGTAAATTTCATGTTATATATGTTTTTCTGCATTTTTGTTTGTTTGTTTGTTTTGAAACAGGGTCTTGCTATGTAGTTCAGGCTGGCCTTGAACTCATTGTGTAACCCAGGCTGGCCTTGAACTCAGCGATCCTCCTGACTCAGGCCTCCCAAGTTCTGGGATTACAGGGGTGTGTCACACACTGGTTGTCTTGTTGCTTTCTGAAGCAGTTCTGCAAGTCTTCTTTCTTGGGTATCTTTAGTTACACTGTCACGGCTGCCTCAATGTCTTGAATTGATTCAAAATATTTACCTTTCATTGTCATTGTGACTTTGGGTTAGAGCTATAAGTTGTACAATACAAGATCAGCACAATACAAAGAGGACTTTTCATAATGTTTTCATGAGCCTGCCTTTCCATTGGATGGCACTCAGCATCAGCATTCATGGCATTTTTTATCAGACTTTGTAAAGACACACACAAAACAGAACTGCTTCAGAAAGTGGTAAGAACAATGGGATAAGCGTGTTCAAAGCAAGCGGGGAGTATTTTGAGGGAGATTCATGGCAATGTGTCTTTACTGTAGTAAATGTTTAAAAATTTAAACATTTGCCATATATTCTGATCACACTTTGTACATACACTGGCAGGGCAGCCCAAGGGCCCCTCCAAGGGACAAGGGACACACACACACACACACACACCCTTACCTTTTGTATTCCCTTCCAACAGTCGGAGGAGGAAGAGGCAGTCCCTGCAATCCTAGAAAACTGTCAGGATTTAAACAATTACACTTTGACTCTCGCCTGTGCCCTTCTTTTTTTCCAGGGCAGCCCAAGGGCCCCTCCAAGGGACAAGGGACACACACACACACACACACACCCTTACCTTTTGTATTCCCTTCCAACAGTCGGAGGAGGAAGAGGCAGTCCCTGCAATCCTAGAAAACTGTCAGGATTTAAACAATTACACTTTGACTCTCGCCTGTGCCCTTCTTTTTCCCTGTGGCTTCCTGGCCTTGCGATCAAGGTTATGTTTTTTAAAAAAGGAAAATATCTGAGGAGTGCAGATGATTCTAATTTACATTTGTGTGTAGAGCAAGGAGGGAACGTGGACCCTTGATGCCTATTGATTAATTCTGAGAAACAGCTTAAATGAACCAGTGAACCAAGAATAAGCCAGCTCCAGAGACAGCTGGAGCTCTAACCTCTAGCAATGAAGTGGTAATCTTCGAGACAGCTCAGCAGATGGAGAGCTAAAGCCTATTTTTGCATGCTTATACTTACAGTACATAATCTTGTATGTAAAGGAGTCAGGGAAATACAAAGGTCCCCCAAAGCCCTTCCAGAAAAGTTAGGTAGGATTTGTTTTTAAGGAATTAGTCTAAGATAAGAAAATATCTTATAATGAAGCATACTTTTCTTTAAAAATGTAATTCAGGATTTATTGACTACCTATTTTCAGATACTTGGGAAATACTGTGTGTAGTACTTTTTTATTGCCACATAATGGGTTATCTCAAATCCCTGTGGCTTAAACTGACAATAATCATTTATTTTCTGTGGACCTAGAATTCAGTGTGGGCACAATGGGGATGGCTTACTTCTGTTTCAGGATGCCTGGGACCTCAGTCAGGAAACTCAGGTGGAAGGCTGGAATCACATGAAGGCTGCTCATCATTTGTCTGATAGTAGATGCTGGCTGTGGAGGAAGGGTCTACTGGGACATTCATGTGTGGCCTTGCTAGGTACCTGGGCTTCCTCCCCATGAGGTGGCTGGGATCCAAGGGCAGGCATCCCAACACATAACCTCTGGAAGCCATGCCTTCTATGACTCACTCTGGAAATCACATAGCATTGATTAGGCAATGTTCTGTCACAGAGCAGTGATGCCTAAATGCCTTCCGAGGGGAGCGACCTAGAGCCCACCCCTAGCAACAGTATAGGAAAAGAGCACATATGTGTACATGTGTGTGCCGTTGCCGATGGTGCTTTATCTCAGTAAATCTTCACACCACCACCACAAAACACCCCTTTGAGGTAGATGATATGAACCTTATTTTATAGTACAGTAAACTAAGACTCAGAAAGGTGAAGTAAACAAACACCTAATAAATGGTGAGTAGAGTGTCTAAGTCAGGAATCCAAACTGTTACCTCCAAACTATCGTACTGCTAGAGTTTATATTTTCTAACCTACAGTTGTTATACACTGGAAGTTCAAGTTTCAAGTCTACTTACGAATATGCAAAAGGTTCTTAAAGAAAAAGTTAATTCTTTATTACAGGACTTTTGGTGTCTCTGCTCTACTCCCCCCATCCCTAGTACTGGAGATTGACTCAAATCTTTGCCCTAAACTACATTTCCAGTCCTTTTTCTTTTCTTTTCTTTTTTTTAAATGTTGAGGTAGGGTCTCAATAAGTCACTCACTAAGTTGCCCAGCCTAGGCTCAAACTTGTGACTCTCCTGCCTCACCCTCCCAAACCGCTGCCATGCCCAGCTTCTCTGCTCCACTTTCACTTGAGACTGGAAGTTCAGGGGCAGACTGCGGAGAAATGTTGTATCAAGTGCACACAGCCCATAGAACCAAGAAGACATCAGAGGGCTCCCAAGGCCCCCAGAGCATAAATTTAAATCCCTACAAAACATCCAGTGACTTGGGATGGAGAGTTGCCACCTCTTAGACCTCTTCGTCAGGTTGGCCCCAAATGAGCCCAACAATGAGCAGTAGCCAACCTCCAAAGAGGGTCCCCAGTGATTGTACCTCTTGGTACCACAGCCTGTGTAATCTCTCCCCACACTGTGTGAGGACCAGGCTATGTAACCAGCATAGGTGATGTGTCATTTCCAGTGTGTTTGATTTTAAAACACTGTACTGCCAGGGATGTAGCTTGGTGGTGCCACACCTACCTGACAAGTGCAAGGTCCTGAGTTTGATTCCTGGTACCAAAAAATAAAATGAGGTGCTATGCTTTTTGTTATGGTAAGGCTCTTTCCCCACTTCCACTCGCCCTTCCCCCTTGCCTCTTGCTCTTCCTCTCCCCTTCCCTCTCCCTACCCTCTTTTTTTTTTTTTTTTTTTTTTTTTT